GTTCTAAATGAACGGCTCTAATAAAAAAAACAAAAACAAAAACAATAGAAAAAAAACTGGCTGTGACCAGGACTGTTTTGTTTTGCTGCCACTGTTGCTTAGCCGCGCTTGGTTTTGTTAGCCTGGATCCAGTGAAAGACGCATTTACCAGAGCCCTTTCTCACCTGGCAGGCCCACCCTGGGAGAGGAGAAGTTACCTCTATCCCCTCTCAATCCTGGTTCTAACCAGTATCTCTTAGTGCCACACTCCTCTTTCACACAGGGGCAATGTCAGGTAAAAGCTAGAGCTTTAACAAATCTGCTTTGAAGTTTGATTCTTACACTTCCTGATGTAAGGCCCCTTACACATTATTGCTCCAGTGCACAAACAGGAGCAAATGACATCATGTACATGAACCAGGATCTCAGGAGTCCAGAGATAAAGAGTCCACAATCCAGTCTCTCAGTGCATAAAGCAGACTCCATTCATTACCTGGCCGTAGCAGAGGACAAAGCGGTAGCTAGCTGTGTGAGGTATTCGCGCAGTTCTTTGGCTGCCTGAAAGCGGCCGTATTGTTTTTTGGGTTTGGTACACTCGTCCAACAGGGTCTCGAGTTGTCCATCTTTGGCTATGTGGGCAGGGGGGTCGTGGAGGAGGCCTCCAGTGGTTCCCCGCCATGTAGCATACCTCGACAGCAGGTTCTGACACACAGCATAGTAGTTGTGGTCCACAGTGACCCTGGAGCAAAGGGAGTCCTTGGAGAAGGACAGACAGGCTTCCCTGTCGCACTCCTCAAAACGGCTCTCATACCACACGTCATACTTTTCTGGCTTGTCTGCAGAGAGACAAAGAGACAGTTAAATGAACACGCTGCTGTAAAAACATACTGATCACAAGAAAAGTCAATAATATTGAGTCATAGATGTATAACATTTATTTCAAATGTATATGCTGAGTCATTAGCTTGTTTCCTATATGTAATGAAGAACAGGATATGTAGCGATGGAAAATGTTGTCTGATGAAAATCATACAGCCAAAAGGTCTTAAATTTATTACAGAGCAACAAGCATTTATGTATTTTGTTGTTTCGATTAAGATAGATAGTAAAATGCTGAAAGATGTACATGGGAAATTTAAAGCATAACTCATTGTGATTACAGCCAGTTGTTAGACTCCATCTACCCAGAAGAAGAACCATTTTCAATGGTTTTTTACAAATTATTACCCAAGAAATCAACTCCAACTGAAGCTCACAGGACCAAGGTGCCACAGGCACTTAAAGAAAAATTCTTTTTCAAAGCTCACAGCCAAATAACACATCTACTGTTTCATTTGACAGAAATAAACCAATTTCCAGATTTACTGAGCAAATGAAATTCTTCAGCTCATTTCGCATTGCTTTTTTCTCTTTGGAGCATTGTGCAGGGAAAGAAAATAACCTGGAATGAGGAGAGAGCTATTGGTTTCTGCATTAAAAAGCAGATCAATAACAATGGGGGAAGGGGGGGACCCAGAAGATGCAAACACATAATCAGTGCATCAGTGTTGTAAGGCACCTCTCCTCTGGTTCATCAGAACAACTCAATCAAACACCCAGTGCTGCCCTGTTAGCAAGGGGGCCCCGGTGGACCTCCGAAGAGGAGGGGCACATCAACCTCAATCAGTGCAGGTGATGAAGATTGATCTGTCCCTGTATGCATTCCACAAGCTTGCACACACACACACACACACACACACACACACACACACACACACATATATATAAAGATGTATGTGAATAAGCAGCAAGGGGAGGTGAAAGCAATTCATATTTCAGAGCTGGCATGTGTCACACCTCAGCACTGACTGACAGATGGCATCAGAAGTGTGTCCCATTCTTGTTAACTCATGCGCACACACACACACACACACACACACACACACACTTACAACAGCCCTTTCTAGAACAAACAGGGGAGAAAGTTCATACTCAAGGTTGAAGATGAGCAAATGAGAAAGAAATCAAACAAAAAATACTCAGACTCTAAAATAAAAGCTAAAAGATATCAGATGTCTGTTGACTTGGAGCTCAGTCCCCTTTCCACTCTTCCCACAGACCTCAGTGTAATAAAGTGAGAACATTTCTAAAACAAAATCATTTCCAATTCAAATGAGTAGGAGAGCAGCGGATGAGGAAGGCGGCCTAGCCTCTCGTCTCCTGCAAACCCAGTGCTTTCCATGTTGAAAGAGCTCACGTCAGACCTGTACATAGTCACCTCAGCCCATGCATGGCTACACTAAGAAGGGACAGTGGGCTTGAAATGCTTGTTAGCATGGCTTTACTAGTGCCATTCAAGAGTAAGAGCCAGTTTTAACAATGCATGCCTATGTTACAGTGCATTATTGAATGTGAGAGACAGAGAAACACCGCATGTGCACAAGTGTTTCAAGTGCTGTTGTGTGTCTGTGTGTTTGTGTAAGCCAGTGAGTGACTGTGTCAAGCAGAGAATGAGAGTGAGTGAAGAGGGTGGTACATTATACAACACATTTCCAAAAACCACCGGGGGTGAAACCATCCTCAAATGCTATAAACTCAATGATGACGCCACCGGACTGTGCAAATACAAAGCACACAGTCCAACTTGAACATGGCAGGCATGTATCTCACCGACCCACCACATCGATACGAGCGCCCCTGACGAAAGGGTGGAACGGTGCGCAGGTTTCTGCGTGTTTGATTTGCAAATCAATTGGGCTCAGTTTACACTGATGAGATTCACACCACACACTTTAACTCACTTTCAATCTCAGGTTCTAATTGTAGGGATTGGATTCTGTTTGTGGAGCCTTGGGAGGTTACCGCACCTACTTCCTACTGCCGTCCAACACACGGCTGTGACCTCCTAATACTCATTACCGCCATAATCCTTCTTGTTCCTGCTGCGCCCTGGCACTTAACACGCACACAAACAGATCCAAACACACAATAAGCACGTAACCATTCTTGAGGCTCTGAATGGCCAGGATAAGCAGGTTCAGATCTTGTAATTTGATAACATGACACATTAATCTCAGGATAAACTGATCACAATACTTCCCTCCCCTCCAAAAAAAAAAACAGTAAATACACAAAATCCCATTCACATAGTGAGTTCATAACCATATACCTGTCACAATGCTGGAACTTCAACACCTAGCAACAGAAAAGTTTATCATTTTATTAGAATTTCTGCAGAAAGGGACAAATCTAAGAGTGTGACTGGGCGGCCGTCTCTCTCTGTGAAGTAGCTGCAGGGAGGGGGAGGGAGGACTGAGGGCTAGGAAACACTGAGTGTGTGATCTATAGCTCACTCCGTCCTTGTTATAAGACTCAAAAAACTAGGGCAGTGGAGATGGCTCGTTATCCAAACGATCTTTGCTTTGAGGGGGACGATCATGTTGGAGGGGTGCCGGAGGGGTGTATTCTTAGAAGAGAGGAGGCTTTGAGCATTTGAAGATTTGCCCACACTTGTCTGTCCCTTGAGGTCTTCCCTCGTCACTGCCTCATAAGCCACAGTTAGCAGCTACAGTTCTACAGAATTCAGTCTGGGGTCACTGTTTGAATCACACTGGCTTTTGAGAAAGTGTGTGACAAACAACTACAGTAAAGGATAGTAAGGAAGAAGAACTACTGCATGAGAAGTCATGTTAATGATTATCACTTTAACCATTTAAATATTCATCAATCTCACAGAAGTATAAAACCACCAATAACAGCTTTGTAATTTGAGTGTTAATGTAAATACTGTCCTGTAAAAATGACCAGCACTTCTCTTCTTAGGGCAGAGACGCGCCAGTGATGTAGGCCTCAAGTTGCCTTTGATTGGGTCAGTTGGGTTGAAAAAGTGCCACTTGAACACACCGCAAAGACTGCACGTACGTTCTGTGCCTGTGTGAGAAAAATAACTCCCCTACCGGCAGGCGGTCGTATCTGTATCTGCCATTCAGAAAGGGAAAGAAGAAGAGCTAGACTGAATATACCAGCTGTAAACAAAGCAGCTGTCGTTCAGCACAGCTGCTGTTTATAGCTGCTTCTAACCGAGAATATGTCTGATAAGAAGTTGCAAATAGCACTGTCATTTCTTGGTTGTGGAAGAAGAAACAAAGTCGTAGAGACAAAAAACAAGGAGAAACCACACTAAATGGGAGAGATAACGACTAGCACTGATTTGCTAAGCTGAACAGCTGATCAGAGCGGTCTCTCTCTGGCCGACAAGGTCCATCCCTGATTCTACATGTCGAATCGGGGAAAAACCCCTGACGGGGTCCAACTAGTGCCAACAGTGTGAGACACATCACAAAGACGAGGGCAACAGACAATCACTCAAACACTGATGGATCAACGGCGGCCGATGGCCGAGCATCAGCTTACATACTGTACCTCCAGGAGTGGTAATATTTAAAACTTTGATACACACACATGTTGACAAACAAACATAAAGGTGTATTTTGCATTACTCACAGACACAGAACACATATGTTCAGGTAATAACACCCCAACTCACTCTGCTTGATCAGCCTTTTGTCTGCCACGAGAACATTCTCAGCATCAACAACAATGACTTTTCCGTCGCGTGGGCCAACTGCAAAGTTATCGAAGCTGACGTCGAGCAGGTAGAGGGCAAACTCAAAGTCGTTGTTAGTGAGCTGCTCGGCGATGTCCATCAGCTGGCGTGCCAAGTCGACTCTCTTCTCCCAGGGCGCATTGTAGAAGCTCCATAGCTCCTCGCCCACATAGTTGACAGCTACCACGCGCCCACATGCTCCCAGGTACTTGGCAAATGGCCACCCTTCATCTGACGGAAAGCTCTGGGAAGCAGAAACAGATGAGAACAGAGCATGTTGATTTAAAAAAAAAAACAGATAAAAGAAGTCAAGCTGTGTAATGCAGAGAAAAACAGAAATGCCTGCTGGCTTTGAAAAGTAAAGGCTAACATACAGAGAACCTTCAAATATTTAACTTGCCCAGAAATCACTTTCTCAATACAAATCGTAAAAAAAAAATAAAAATAAACTCCACAGATCAAACAGAGTTGCTGTGGTCAGCCCTAGGTAATTTTGATACACAAGTTTAAGAACAATAGTTGACAATCTGCCATAGGATCACATGAAACAGAGCCAGCCATGTGTATAAGGGATTAAATTTAATAAAAAGAAGAGAGCCAGTCTGTGCTAAAACCCTGCAGCAATGAGCTGATGTACAACGCTATACTCAGTGCTTCCAGTGAATTGATGGGAGGTGATTTGTGGTTGCAGCAGTTAGCAGGAAAGCCTTATGTGCTGTGATGTAGCAGCTGGGCGATTTAAACTGCTGCACGATGTTGGATAACCAGGTTGATGCACTTTGGGCAAACTGACAAGAAATTTTTGTGTATCACTGGTTACAACCAATTTATAATAGCAGGGCAATAACACTAGCAGGAAGAGGTATCGCTGCTTAAATGCACAATACCCTAATATCTCCCAGATCTGCCCCACCTTATCAAGGTCAAACAACACAGGCACACATGCACCATCATCTGCAATCACTCAAAGTCAATTGGTAACATCTGCACATGGCAAACACAAAAGCACTCACTGAACACAGGCAACTTAGTTTGAATCTGCCACATTTGGCAAAATGTGCCAAGCTGCTAAGGGACTGGACTCTGCGAATTCTGTATACACTATATGTCTAATACTATTAGTGCTTTCATCACTCTTCATGAGCTCTTAGGTCACACTTTCTCTACATTGCATTCTTTTCTCCTGGTCGATTACATTGCCAAAGGCTATCACCATGAGAGGACTGTTTTGTTGCAGTTTACAAGCTTTGCTACAATTGATAAGCGTTCCTCTTTTACAATAACCCCCCCGCCATAGGCCTCTATCTTTTATAATAAACACCTGGCCGTATGCTAGCTTAATGATAGCCTATGTAACAAATCTCTCTTAGGCTTCTGGTTCTGGCAGGCAGCTGCTGTGCAGACACCGACAGAGAATCAGGAGCGCTCATGTTTCACAGCAGCCTCAGTAGTCCTGCCTTTCTGAAACCCATCGCATCAGCGACATGGTAGGAAACACAGCATGTCACTGCAGGTACTGTAAGGTGTGAACTGCTATGAATATAGCATCTCACTTTACATTCAAAGTGATACTTTCGATTTATGTTTAGGGTGGGGGTTAAAAATACATGGCTGCCCTAACACCCTTTAAATTTTAATCAAATACAAATTATTTAAAAACACGTTTAAACCCCCATCCTCCAGCGACCGTGTGTCTGCTGTATCCCAAACAGGTGGACCCCGGTCACTGTGGCACTGAGGGCAAAAAAATAAATAAATAAAGCCATGATTAGGTAAGTGGATGACTATGCAGCAATTAGTGCACCATTGACTAGTGTTGAGACATTTTATCTCAGACACTCCTCAAACTACTGCTTAAATACATCCATTCACTAGGCTATAATTCACTAAGCATATTAAAGGTCAAAGCATATGAATCCCACCTGTGGTAGAGTATGTGATGCAATGAGCTGAATGTAAATCTAATGCTGGAGATGCCTTGTACGGGGTGCTTGACCGGACAAACAACCCTGCAAAAATCAAGACCTCGCTGAAACAATTGTAACTTTTTTTTTTTTTTTTTTTTTTTTTTACAATCTACACAGAAACAGAGAGGCCGACTTTCACAGTCCATCACAGATTGTTTTACTGGTCCAGATCTATACCTTATCTACTGGATCCAACAATTGTAAGATTCACCACCAAGAGAGGGTGACAAAGAGCTACATGCAACACAGTCTTACTCAAGCCTATTTGTCCTGAGGGGACCCAATCAATTGTGAGCCAGACGAAAACAGCCGGTCCTGGAAGCGCTTTTGGTTTTTAGCAACTGGTCTGTTTGCGTCTGTCATGCTTAGATTTGGAAATAACTCATAGCAACCTCCCCCAGAAACTCTTGGCTTACTTAATAGGCTTCGTCTAGATTTCCTGATATCACAAACTTGACAGTAGAAGAAGATAAGTCTCAAAACGTGAAAAATGATGATAGACACTAGGAAACAAAGGCAAATGGTGGGCTCGCTGCACTCCCAGATACTGCTTGGAAAAAAGACAATCCTAGACTACTGAGAGCCAACGTGCACTCCTACATAAAAAATTTTAGCATTAGAGATTTAAAAGGCTAAATATCTAAACTGGCTTTCAAATTTCTGAAGTTGGTATAGAAATACTGTGCTGGAGCCGGATTTGTTGGCAGTACACTCCTATTAGGCTTGCTTCCCGTTGACCCAGATTCAAACCTCAGATCACTTTATGTTGTTGCAAATCTAAGCAGCTCTGGTTCTTGTTGACAAAACTGAGCCGGTCCAGTGTTACGGCTAAATCTGCTTTGTAAAACACCATCCGCCCTCTCTCAACCCCCCGCAGGGTGAATGGATAGGCACAGTAAAGGGGTAGAGAAGAGAGAGGATACGATGAAGACGGCAAACAGAAGAGACAAACACAGTGTCTTTCACGTCTCCGCTCCAGTGGGCAGGAGGAATAAACCAGCAAAGACCTGCCTGCTAAACACATCTCTCTCTTTGTTGTCAGGTTGCAGCCTGAATGGGAGCTAAAGTAGAGCGGCAGCAGGTGGGGGGATGGCTGATGGGAAGGAGAAGGATGAATGCCCTACGGCTACTTTCACACACCATCAATGGCTGTTATGAGAATGCCTTTATGTCTGTCTGGCCCTTGTCCTCAGTTCTTAACATACTGTAGATGTTCCTTATTCAGAGAACCGGCAGGCTCATTGCGCTTCATCTTGACAATTAATACTTTGGTAGAATTTTTATGAACTTTCTATATTTGGATTTTATGTGCAATATGTCTAAAGGTGAGAACTACTGAACAAGAGTAGGCAGGGAGGCACACTTAAGTGGACATGTGAGGTTTAGATTTAAATCTACCTATTGCAGAAGTTGATAAATACTCCACATGTCCCACCAATCATCCTCCCTCAGCGCTCTTTAAACGGTTACTCTGCAGAAGTCATTAACGTCTGCGATGAAGCATTAAGTGGGGAGGGGGACAGGAAAGTCCAGCCTAATATTACATCCACTGCATTATCTCAGAGTGGACTTGGACGGTACTGTATGTGCGGTGATTGCACAGGTAATGAATTTTATCAGTCATCTCCCAGTGTAAAATGCTGAGGGTGCGAAAGTGCCAATGACACATTCCAGCGACTTTTACTGCTTTAAAGGTCTAACCATCACTTGTTCCTATTGTTGGGTAAAAACCTTTTATCTCCTGCTTAGCAAAACTTTTAAGTTATAAAACTTGGTGTCAACCAATCTTCTTATTTTCCATACAAATTTCTAATTTTTTTTTTATAATTGTGTCATAGTGATAATGAGCGTGTGTTGCACTGGCAATGAAAGTGAGGATGGAAAACTGACCAAAACAGATTTGTCTCATTAAAGATAGTTTCACGGTGACATCTAGGCCAAAGTCTGACAAGAATAATCTTGAAGGTTGTATTGATGCACTACAGAAGTATTGACTGGGGGGTGTTTATGCTTTCCACTCCCCTCCCTGCAATACAACAGACTCACACTGGCATCCTCTTGGGGGGAGATTGGATAGGCTGAAATGAAACAGGGCCACAGACAAATGAACAGCCCCTGGAGAAGAGGATGAAACGAATGGTGCGAGAGGCACAGGAACACACACCTGCGTCCTGACATCTGCTGACAAAGGCACGTCCTTCTACTGGGCTACTCCAGGGAGGGCATGTGTGTGTGTGTGTGTGTGTGTGTGTGTGTGTGTGTGTGTGTGTGTGTGTGTGTGTGCACGTTGGCGAAAGAGGGTCTTTGTGTGGGTGTGTAGGTCTATGTGAAACTGTATCCCAGTGCATGTGAATGAGAACATGCAACGTGACCAGGGCTGATAACAACCTCTATTCAAGGGGCAAGTAAACATGAGCAGCTCCCAAGATATTGCCTTGGCTGGCTTGTAAAGCAAGCTGGTCCATCAAACACGCGTATACATCCACAGATATACAACTACATGGACACCAAATTGTTTTATAAATTCAGGATTTAAAAGAAACCAGCTGCCTTCCTACTATGTCTACAGGTACTTGCAGCAAAAAAATGAAATTAGTAGTTTTCCACATACGTTTTTTATGTGTGCAGCAAAACCCATTCGCTTCATAGCAAACATGTTAGAACAGGACACACCAAGAGCCTGGGGATCAAATGCCAAAGCTGAGCAAGCATGGCGGACAGGCGTGTTTAGTCAGACACAAAACAACAGCAAAAAAAAAAAAAAAAAAAAAAAAAACCCTTTCATTTCTGATGTTTCAAAATTAACATTATTCACTCTTGTTTATCAAACAGGCTCAGTGTTAATAAGGAGGCACATCTGCTCTGCAGGGCTGGGTCTACAAAGCTGGACTTGAAAAAATAAGTCGCTTTTCTCTGCAGCTCTCCTGTTGACCTTGTGAGTCTCTGGATCTGTGGCGAGCCCCATCTGGCATTTTGCTAGCAATTTAAGTTTAAAATCCACTCGGTTAGGCCGCAGCAAGAGCTCACGCACCCACTGGGAAGCCAGTGCTAACTCCTCATCCTGGCACACATGGCGCTACCTCTTTCTTCTCTTTTTCTCTCATCTCCAGCTGCTGCTGCTTCTTCTCCTAACCCTGCTTCCCCCCCCGTTCTCTTTGTTCCACCCTCCAAAATCTGCAATACAGGGCAGTGATGCTGTGTCTTCCAGACATGGAAGCCATTAAATGCCTAGTCAGAACACCAAGCTAAGGAGGGAATGTGTGTGGTTGTAAAAAAG